CCTAATAACTTAATTAAATAAGACAGAATTAAAATTTTATTTTGAAAAAATAATCTATTAATATTTATTTGATGTACTAATCTTTTTGCACCAGATCATATATAATTTATTATTATGTTGATAATAATTTATTATATAACCATTTATAATTTTATAATTATTTAAATATAATAATATGATTATAATAAATCAGAAACAAATAGTTATATTTAATTTTACTATATTATTATTAAACTGTTAAAGAGAAGAATTTTATTTCTTCATAATATAATATATATAATTTAGATTTAATTTCAAAGAATATTAATTATATTACTATATATAATTATTAAATTCATTATATTCGAGGTAAGAATTTAAAGTTAGCTATTTATTGCATCACGATACGTAAATAATGCTGAATACGTATATCGAATAACAATATAAAATCGTTAATTGCAATTCATAATTGTTGTACTTTTCTGAATAAACCTATAGAAAAAAAAATTTAAAGCAAATACAGTATACAAATTGATAATATAAACAAGATCAAATAATTACAACAGTTATTAAAAATATTAGGCAAAAAAACTCGTTTGCTTTTAGTTTTCCAATCGCCGAAGTCCTATTATTAATTTTTTAGATAAATAAATTTTCAATTTAATGAACAAAACTCACTCAAAATGTGATGTGTACTCACCCATACTCTTAGATCAGTATTTTCAATTTTTTTTAAATGCTTGAATCTAGCATGCATAATATTAATACTAAACGCCCAATCAAGCAATTCTTTAGGATATATGTATGAGTTTGAGTCTTCTTGCAAGTTGACTCGCTGTAATTTTGGAAATCTGCAATCGAGTAAAGTACGAACCATTTTCTGTGGTAAATTATAACAATATGATATTGTTAATGTATTAAGTTTGTTAAATGTATTGATACTATCCCAATTTGTGCATCCGCTAAAATCAACGTATTCCAATGATAAACGCTCGAGTGAGCATGAAAACGATTTTAATGATGGTATTATTAATCGCGTAAACCCGTCGCAATCGTAAATCGATAGAATTTTAAGATTTTGTTGAGAGTTTAGAAAATCAACTACGTAATCCTCTAAAATTTGAGAATTTTTGTCCGTTTCGAAATTCCATACGCTTATACTTAAATTCATCTATGTGATAACAACGAGCAGATTTATTTAGAATTTTGAACTATTTAAAATATACTTAAAAATATGTTGAAAAGCATACCAGAAATTTGCAATCGTCCGTTAGAATCTGTAAAATATGACATGTTTCCTCGCTTAAGCCAACAATATATAAATTATGAATTCCTGAAATCCAACTACGAAAAGCCGGATCATCAAATCCCGCAAACCATTTTGAACAATCACGAAGCATAACTCTCAAACTAATTAATCTAGAGCCGGACTTTACAAATAATTCGCGGACCAAGTCAGAAAGCATAAAAATAATTTCTTCCTTAAAAAATGTTTTATTGTTCTTTGTTGAAATGAAGTAAAAGCTTCTAATAGCTGAAATCAATTCAGCATAATCTAAATGTCTTATAAATGAAGCGTAGTTATAAGTCGGAGTGCATATATAAGAGAATTTATGACCTAGTTCAATTTTTATTTTTTCCTGTTTTGATTTGTCTAAAAGTGATAAATATATCATTAAAATTTTGTATTGAGCGTAAGAATGAACTGATGAGAATGGGCGACGCCATAGATGTGGAATAGCTATATCGCACCATTGCTTATTTACTAATATACACGAGTATAAATTATCGTAAACTTCCGAAGAATGATAATTGAATGGGTTTTTGAGTGCAGTAAGATGTTGGAAAATTTCATCGAGAATATCCGATATTAGTAGAGACATTTATATTTATTTATAGGAAAAAAATTTAAGATTGATTTTACGAGCTTAATAAAAGTAACAAAAATTCCTTGGGAATCAACCAATTTCTATAATGGCACTAAATCATTCATAGAAAATGCGATTGGGAAAAAAATATGCATTTATTTTTAAATAGTACATGCATAATGTACAACGTCAATCAATAATATAAATAGGCTCATTTTAATGCCTATATGGAAGTCCGGGTAGTATCATGTGATTTTGGATTCAATTCGGATCCAGATCATGTGAACAATTCACGTGATAAGTAATGATTGGCTGAATAATTTCGATCAACAGACAATCATAATAATAATATTAATTATTGATCAATTAATAATTGAGAATAAAGCTCATAAAGATTATTAATTCATAATAAATATCAAAAAATAAAGCTTATTTATTTTTTTATGAAAAATAATAGTAATAAATATAATTATAAAATTAATTAACTTATAAAATAATAAATTATTATATTATAATTTTAAAAATTAGATTCAATAACTTATTTAAATATATAATAAATATAGTGGCGATCAAATGTTTTACATCATCTGACCAGCAAACTTCACGATTCAATAATTTTTTAAGTAGATAATGAATAATAATAGTTTTTTTCAATTTGATTTATTAAATCCTAAATAACATGAAACTACCTTTATTTACTTTATTTATTAAGCAAAAACTCGAAAAAATAAAAACATTTTCTATTTTTCGTGATGCATTTCTTTTGCTCATTTATACAAAATGTAAAATTTTGAAAAAATAAAATAAAAAAAAAATAAAATGATCTAATTTTTTTTAAAAAAAATTATCATTCACCATTCAGTGTATCCTCCCTTTGCATTATAAACATCAATAATATGTTGAGGCATACTTTCAATAAGACTATTTAGATAGTCCATATCCATATCAATCCAAACTCATTGAATAGCCTCCCAAAGTTAATCTGGATTAGCAATTACTACGGATGAACGTTATATTCGATGATCGATCTCATTCCAAAGGTGTTCTATTGGGTTTAGGTCAGGTGAATATGACAACCACTTGAGTTTTTCTATATTATTATGATAGAACCATTCTTTAGTTTCAGTTGCAGTATATTTGGCATCATTATCTTGCTGAAAAATAATATTATTTTTATTTATTTCATGCTATCTGATTGTTCCTAATAGGTCATTAGTTAATATTTACCTGTATAAATCTCTATCCATTATCCCAAAAATACGTATGATGTTACCAACCCCAAAAAAAGAAAAATACCCCCATACCATTACACTACCACCTTTAAATTTTTTTGTAGGGATTACATTTCACTCATTAAATAGTTCATTAGGCCATTTCCAACAGTATTGACATCTGTTAGAGCTAAATATCTTGAATTTGGACTCATCAGACCAAATTACATGATGCCAATCCTCAATTCTCCAAGCCTTATATTCTTTAGAAAAATTATAATGAGTATTACGAGCTTTTTTATCCAAAATAGGTTTCTTTCACTTGATCTGGGAAGATAATCTATTTCTTCTTAATGTATATTTCACAGTATCTGCGTTTACTTCAATTTTTTCATAGACTTTCAGATTTTTTTGAATTTCTACTGCATTAGAACATTCATCATTTGCTAATAACTGTATGACACTATGCTCATGACGTTATGTAAATATTCTGGGACGTCCTGATTTTGGTAAATCTTCAACAGTACCAGTTTCTTTGACCTTTTGACATATCCAAACCACAGAAGACTGTGCTACATTTTCTTTTTCTGCAACAACACAGGTAGAGTAACCTTCTTGAACTAGTGTGATTATATGTGTGCATTTTTTCTTGGAAATACAGACCATAATTTTTATTTATAGGTGGGTGGCTACCAAAACAAAAAGTGTAAAAAAAAATATATGACTTTCACTAGTAAAAATTTTTTGTTTGTAAAAAAATTTGGGGAGTAGCTTATGCTATAATTTTTTATTATGTAAACAATCATATGATTTGTATCACTACTTTTGGAAATATGTAAATAGAAAAACCAGAATTTTATATAATATTACATGTTAAAGGTTATTTATTATATCTGTGCTACTGTACTTTCAAATCATTTATTTTTTTTGTACTTTACTATCTATAGATCGTGAGATATCACAATTTCTTTTTTGTGATCCAGGTGATACAAAATATTTGATCATCACTGTACTTAATAGTATTATTATCATTTTTATTCTTAATTTTTCAATACTTATTTTATATTTTTTCTAAAAGTTTATTTATTTATAATTTTTATATTTCTATCTCTTTCTTTACTTAAATCTAAATAGTATTTTAAGAAAGTCTTAATATTATTTTTAAGAATTTTACCTATTTTACCAGTATTATTAATTGAAATATTATTATTAATAAAAGCTAAAAGAGTGTTAAACTTAAATATTTTAATTATTTTATAATATTTATATATTTTAAAACTGATCTTTGTGAATATTTATTAGAATTTCTTCTAAATATTAATTATTAGTAACTTATTAAAATTAAAAAGATACTTATAAAAAATATATTAACAAGAAAGTAAATAATAATAAAAGAGTATATTAATAATATTAGATTTAGTAATAGCTTTTTTTTATAATTTTTATATTTATAATAATAATTTTATCTGTAATTAATTTTTGAATTAAATAGAAAAATTTATAAATTTTTTTCAGAATCTTGTCATTAAGATTAGTTATAAAAATTTATTTTTTTAATGAAAATTAAAGATAATTTTTTCAAAATTAAATTATTTTTTATTATTAAAATTAATAATCTTATAATATATTTCTAATATAATTATAATAATTTTGATTAGGTTATTTCTTTTTAAATTTCTTTTAATTTAGATCTTTATTTTGCATTATCTGTATAACAGATTAGTTTTGCATTACAATTTTAAAAAGATTAATTTCACTCTGGATACACAGATGATTATTATATATTTAATACATCTAGATTTAGTATATTATTACTCAGATAATTATCATGTATATTATAATTATTAATTTAGATTATTAATATTTTTAATTAATTATTTCTTTATAATTTTATTTATTCTTCTTATTATTATTTATATTATTATTTATTATTATTTATAATTATTATTAATTATTAAATTATGATTAGTTATCCTCTGAGAATATAAATTAAATTAATTAATTCTGTTTAATCTATATATATTTTATTTATAGATTATTATTAATTTATTCATATTTTGTATTTATTTCTTTTATTATAAATATAATCTGTCTATTCTATAAAATAACTTCAGATCTAAATACTTTTAAATAATAAAAATAATTATAAGTTATAAAATTAAAACTGTTTATATCACATTTTATTTTGTTTATAATTATTAACAAAATAATCTTACATAGTAAGAGAAATGCCATTTATCATGTGATATTATTCAATTGATAGATCTACCTATCCATGTATGATGTGATAATGTAAAATAACATAGTATAATAATTAATATAATATAAATTTGCATGAATTAATATAATATGAATCTGTATCAGTTGATATTGATATACCATAGTATGAAATTGAACTACATTGAGAATTGATTATATTATATAATGACATGTTTAATTTTTAAAAAAAAACTTTAGTTAATATTACATATGATAGTTTTTTTAATCAATTTTCTTTTTTAAAATTATGTAATTAGACATATAATAAAAAGTACGTGATATATTATAATTTTGTATTATGTGATAATCAATATATACTATGCATACATCATGTATATATGATAAAAAACATGTGATAAATGACACTTTCCTAAATAATTTAATTATTTAACTTTGAATCTTAATATCTTTATAACTACTGATTTAATTTTTATGAAATTTAGAATATATATTTATCAAATCTAGGATAATCTGCTTGCATAATTTGAAGTTCTAATATTACAAATTGATAGCAATAATATTTAAAATGTCTTTTTTTAAAAAAAAATAATTTTATTTTAATTTTTTTTTTAGTAAAGTAATGCTTTATTTATTATTAAATTAAAGTATAATAGAATAGTTAAAAAATATAAAAAGTTAATTTAGATTATTTTTTACATAATATAAAAAAATTATAAAGATTAATTAAAATTTGAATGATTTTTATTAGAAGCAATTATTAATTTTTATATTGAGGTACAAATCTTTTTACACTGATCCATAATAAAAAATATCAGAATTATATCAAAATTTATAAACATATTCTTTATAATATAATAACAATTTATAATAAATAATAAGATTGCTTAATATTGTTTTTAATAATATAAGCTCAATGCTTTGTTTGATCTGATCTATTGTTTTACAATAAGAAAAAGTATAATAATAAATATAATTATAAATAATTTTGTAAAATTTCTAAGCAAAACTTACAAAGAAGATAGATCTAAATTGTTAGATAATTTTGACAACTTGTCATTATTATACATTATATCAAAATTCTGAAACTTTATATTAATTATATTATATAAGTATTATATATTTGTAAAGCATTATAATATAAATTTTATTAATTATAAAATTATATTTGATCTTAATTCTTAATAAAAATAATTAATATGTAACTTAAATTAACATTATTTCTAAAAATACAAGCTAAAAATAAAAAGTTAATCTTTTTATATTATTATATTATAAATTTTAAATTAGTAATAATCGAACGGCGGCGCAATATACACCGAACTCGGCTTTTATCAAAGACACATGTCCGCCGATACCGATATGTGGTCACCAAAAGAACAAGTATTTAACTAGTTGCTGCACGATCGTCAACTTACCAGACTTCACTTACATCATATCATCATCATCATCGTATTAATATCGATATATTAACGTTAATACATTAAAATACAGATATATATACATGTAACAGGAATTTATCATAATTTAAATAATACGTGTACAGTACCTAAAAGAGATGGTATCCGACACCAATAAATCAGAAATACTTCAAGCAGAACTTCATACACCCACGACTCCATACAACTTGCTGCAAGAGATCGAATTAACAGATTTGAACATTAATAGCAATACCGATACCAGAAAAAAGATTAAAGCACGTTCATTATGGGAAAATGCGCCGTGTTTAGTGCTTGTTGGTAATTTTTCGAAACAAACAAATTTTTGTACATTTAAATTTTGCTTAACACAATTTTTTTTTCTTAGTTCGTAGACCAGGATGCTGGCTATGTCGTCAAGAGGCAATCAAATTAGCCACATATCGAGAATTAATAACGAATAAGCTTGTAATTTTTTATTTTTAATGAATTGGGCGTTAATTTTTTTGCATTTCATTCAATGATTATTTTTTGCTTGAAATAAAAAGGGAATAGATATGATTGCGGTTGTGCACGAAACCGTTAGAAACCAAGTGAGCGATTTCAATATGGACTACTGGATGGGTTCGATTTATCTGGACGAGAGCAAAGGATTTTATCGTGCGCTTGGGTGTGTGTTTTTGAAATTTCGATTTTGTCCTATAACGATAACGAGGTTGAATATCCAAAATTATATTTTCTACAGAAATGGTGAATTGAAATGGGAGTCGCCATTCGCTATGCTTAAACCAACAGTATTGATGAATTATCGTCGTCAAAAGAAAGAAACTGTACGTATTTCTTCTCCAATTTTCCCAAAATCTCAAATTTAAAACCTTCTAATTATCACACGGAAATGTACTTGATGCCATCCAGGACTGCGACGGCAACATGGTAGGCGAAGGACGAATTCTTGGGGGTCTTCTCATCATGAAACCAGGGGATCAAGGTGTCGCATTCGATTATCACGAGAAAACCTTTGGCGACCACGCACCGCTCGAACATGTCTTACAGGCTTGTTATCAAGTGTCGTTAAAGAAAAATACGAATCCAGATTTAAAGCAGCAAGTCGAGAAAGAAGTTGAAAAATTGAAGAACGAGGGATTTAAGCGGGTCGAAGTTTGTTCTGTTGATGGTTTATGTGAATTATAAATGTTTTTTTTATCTCTGAGTTGATCGAATTTCTTTTTCGATAAATAATATCGATATCGATAGAGCTAATTTCTTAATAAAAATCGTCATTCATGTAATGCTTTTCGGGTGATATTTTATTTTAATGAAGGGAGATTAAATAATGTATATATATTACTATTCTTTATCGGAAGAAATTGCTAAGGATGTGAAGATATTTATAAGTTGATAACTAAAATAAGCTTTTATCTGTTAAAGGCAATTACTGCGAAATCGCGGCACAACCAACCATCCGTGAATTCGAGTCGCTCTAGACGAACTCCCTTTTTCGCAGCATATCGCTTAATGATCTTACGATAATGCTCCCTTAACCCCGAAATCCGAAACTTAAAACTCTTCAAATTATCCCCACATTTTTCAAGGAACACATCCAATTCCTCTACCCCAATAATCCAATCCTCAATGTGCAACGTCTCAATATTACGCGACAATCGTTTACTGAGCTCAGTTCCCCGGTCTGCGTTAAAGAAGTCAGAGAAACAGAGATCTTCCACTGTAACGATAAGGGTGTTTAGTAGCGGCCAGTAGTCCAGAACATCGATAAGAACTGAGGTTTTCGACGAGGGAATATTTAGTTGTAGACTGATGATGTTTGGGTTAGAGGTGGCCACTTTTTGAAATAGACTTTCGTATTGTATTCTGCCGCAGTCGAGCTTTAATTCTTGTAGACTAGAGCCTAGATTTCGAAATATCGCGCATAACTCACTTATCGGTGGAACATGGTACGCAACTTGAAGAGGTGCCTCGCAGAACTCGAATTTTTTCAATTTAGAAAATTGTGTACGGGTAAGCGGTGCCAAAGCATCCTTTGTCACCCAAAAACAATTAATGAACCGTAATTCTTCCAAATTCGTGCATTTACTTATTGGTTCCAACGTGATCGACTCGCCAAAATTTATCCTTTGAAACACAAGCCGTGTCAATGATCGTGCTTGGCTCTCAAGTCCAACAAGAATTGGGGTCATTCGTCGAGCCATGAATTCAAAGTCGGCCTCCTTGAGGTTTTTCTGTTCTTCCAATAGTCGCTTTAACGCCTCGCGTCTATCCTCATTCGGAAAATCGAAATCACGGAGCGTCTGACTCCAATCTTCGGCGATTTTTATAGATTCGATGTGTTTGCAGTTTTGGGCGACATCGTCAAATAATTTTTGGTGATCAAATGGGCCGAAGCATTCGAATTCCGATAGGCCCGATAGACAATTCGGTGATTTTTTCCAGGGTAGACGTCGATTGTCGCATTCTATACGGTGAAACCCGTTATAATGGAAATGTGGGATGAATCTTTGGTTGCATGATCGTTCAGTACACCAAAGTGAAAGGCGCTCAATTCGTCGTGACTTCCGAAAAAAGAAATTACAAATCTCTATTGACATGCCAAAAATATTCCATGGGCGTTGATGACACAGTTGTTGGTGTCTTACTTCCCCTTCCGTGATGATATCCTCATTAACATCTGCTTCATAGGTGGCATTATCATCATCGTGATGCACTAAGGTAAGCAAATTTCGCCAGTGTATCGATGTCCAAGACCAGTCAGCCACTGTCTGATAAATGGCACCAATCGACAACACACGCAAAAAGCCGGGATAATAGTAGAATGGTTTCGGTGATAATCGCAACATTCCATCTTTATTTTCTAGAATTCGTTGACCGCGTATAAAAGGTAACAAAGCATTCAAGAGTTTCGCTGATGGACACAGTTCGAACGGGTTATGCCATAATACAACGATAGCATTGTCACACCAGAGACGATTCACCAGGAGACAAGAGTGCAGCGTTGATGCGTCTTCTTTAAGATTCCAGAATATTTCTTGAAGTGTTTCTGGCGGGAATTTTGTAGACATTTTTTTTTGCCAAGTATTTTTTGCCAAGTTGCCAAGTATTTTTTACTATTTTTAACGAGTTTAACAAATATTTATTGATTTGACTATAATAAATAAATAATAAATTTCCTATGCAAGAATCTGCAATTACACTTTAACATTCATGGAAATCTAGATTTTATATTGCTGAACTTGATCTAGACTCTGTATAGAAAATGTTGTGTAAAAAAACTTAACTATTTCTGTACACGTGGGTCGGGACACACTTCACGAATTCTATCGGACAAGCGTGCTGATACTTTACATGGTGGCGCAGTGCCTATTCTATAGCTTTACGGGGCAATTCAGCATTAGATTTATAGCCAGAAATAAGGCTATCACACCATTTATCGATGTCGATGGATGTTGTAATGTTGTGTTGTGTCAGAAAAATGATGTGATGATCACGGATGGTGTCATTCATTATGATTAAATAAACAACTTAATTAAAGTGCATCGCATTTATTATTTTTTCATACATACCGAAACATATTCAACAAATAATGGGCTTGACTTGGTTAGCAAAAATGATTCAAAGCAAAATAAATATTTTTAAAAATTTTAATATTAGATGTTTCATCATTTGATATCATATGAAGAGCGAGATGAATATAACTTACCAGCAACCGTAAAACAAAAAAAAATGATTTAAACTACATTATACATAGCGATAGAACAAAAAGGATTCAATACAACAATACCGGCTCAAATAGATCCTTATTCATCTCCTTTTACATGTACAAATTATTAATTGTAAGTTACCACCTCCTCCTTACAAATCCAAAAAACGATTCGCATCTACACAAACAAGGAAACTGAATATTTCATTTAATCAATCAGTCACAAAGTACGTAAGATCAATCAACAAAGCCTATATTCAGACACAACAGCCGAACCTGTGCATACACATAATTACGTCAAATTAGCATACACGTACAGTATCACATTTCTTTGCAAAAGTTGCTTTAATGTTCTTGAAGCTACTGTCCCTTATTTTGGAAAATAGATATTCGGTAATAACCAAAAAAAAATAAAATCTATTTTCTAGAAAAGCCACAATACACAACAATTTTTATGATAATTTAAATTTGAATAAAGAATCAGAAGTACGGTCAGTGATTTTCCGACGGTACACGACAGAGAACAGAGGATATTTATTTATCATATCAAATTTACCAAAAAATAAAAAAATGACTCTACTGAAAAAACGGATTTCGTTTATTGGAAGTATTGCATTGTTGGTGTCTTCGATGACGGG